TTAGGGGAAGAGTTGATTATCTGGTTTCAGTGGTCAGACCAGCATTTGAATATACCATATCTAATTCTGTTTGTCTTTAAATTTGTCAGAGAAAACTGATTATACCAAGATTCGGTTTGCTTTATATAACTTACAATTACTTTGGTATGTATATTGACTGTCCCAATTAATTGAGTGTTCAAGTGGTTTTTTTGTTGTTTGTTTTGGTTTTTTTAAGGAAGCTGTTAACATACTTTTAGCTTTTTTTTTTTTCCTCTGTAGTTTAAGACTAAGGTTACTGTTCATCACTGTCTTTTTAATTGTGTTCTTCCTCAGCAATTTGTAGAAATAGCTGTGGTGATGGATTTTGTTCCCGTCCTAACATGTGCACTTGTGCAAGTGGACAAATATCGCCTACTTGTGGATCGAAATCTAGTAAGCACTTACTATATTTATTTTCACTAGAGATTTGATTTTAAGTATTTCTCTTTGAGTGTCAACTCAAAAATAACTGCTGTGTAAATTCTTTAACTTGGCATTACTGCATACACTCATGTAACTTACACTTTGATATATCTCCAGTTTTTGATAAAGTTTGATATACTGTGTGTGCATGTTTACTCTGTGTGACAAATTGAAAAAGAGTATGTGTTTAAAGAGATAAGCAAGTTTAAATGTAAATGTGAGTGGTATTAGCATTTTCATCGAGTCTGTTTTCCTAAGAAATGAAGATTGTACAGCCTCCAAGGTAATTAAAAGTTCTAGGTTGCTAAGTATAGTCATGGAAAACTCTAAAAAAGCTCTTCATAGTTGCTTTGAGAATAATGACTGACTACTAGCTACAGCTTGGATGGCTTTGGTCACAAGAGTACCTGAGGGTACACTTAAATGCGTATGTTGTACGAAGCTCACGTCTACTTTCAGATGTCTCTGTTTTTACCCACATTTGCTTCCTCATGTGGTATTTTTGGCTAACGCTGGTATCTTTCTGCCTGGGCTCAGCTGCAGAGCAACAGTGCAGCATCAGGTGCATGAACGGCGGCACATGCACGGATGACCGGTGCCAGTGCCCAAAGGGCTACGTCGGAACTTACTGCGGGCAGCGTAAGTAACTGGTCTGTTGCATTTAAAAGTAAATCCACCTAAATCCTGGAAGTTAGCCACCTTACTTTACGTAGGGTAGGAAGATAAACAAGCCAATATGCTGAAATATAATGAAATGTCTGCGAGAAATTTAGTGCTGTTTTGGGGTATAGTGTTTAGCTGAAAATCAGTTCATGCATGAAGGGCATTTCTGTTCTCTAAAATTCAAATTAGGGATTGAATTCACCAAATAGTTCTGGAAAATCCTTTGAGAGCAAATCCACTCTCCTTTTCTTACCAGATGATCACTATTGTTTCGTTGTCTTTGATAAGTTGCTTCATCTCAGAACAGCCTGACTGCTAGGTTAAAGCATGGTATTTTTTGTTTTCTGCTTGACTAAGAAAGAAGATTAAATATGGTTCAAGCTTTTGGATACCTTTTTGGTTTGGCAGACAAGCTAGAACATCAGTCATTTGCACAGCTCTGCCTATCACAGTACAGTGTTTCCAAGCTATACAGATTTAGCAAACAGTAAAAATCACTAAAGGCTGCAGGGATGAAGAAAGGTTCAAGGTGTATTCTGAGGCCAGCTGGCTACTAATTAGCTGGAAAATTACTTACTGAAGTTAGTCTGAAGGAACTAGAGATAAAGAAAAGGCAGCTCTGCAAAGAAGAGTTAGACTAATAGTGTGGAAGAACATCCTTTTTTCTTTTTTGTTATTTTTGCAAATGCTGGAGAGCAGTCTCGTCCTTGCTTTATGTCTAGCTGGATAAAATTGTCTAAAATTTTAGGTAATAATTGAAATCTTCAAACGTGACCCTAGTCACAGTCAGATTCACTATTAAGAGTTGCTGGTCCCTTCCTGCGAATTTTAAAGCATTGGATCAACACCTGAGTGCTCTCAGATGGGGCATGTTTCCAATGAATAAATGAAAAAAGGATTGAATTTTCAAGCAGTGACTCTAAAGCAATCCAGAAAATCTGAGAGACTCCACTCCAAAGTGTGGAGATTGGTCTCTGTGTATAGGATAGTTAAAATTTCAAGTAAGGTTGAGTGTTTGCCTTCTAGACACAGTGTGGAATGAACATCTGAAAAATGTAAATATATCTTTATTTCTTTTCACTAAAATGTAGTTGCGTCTTAAATATACTGAAGTTAATTGTCTCACTACTGTGTCACTGTCTTAATTCAGTAGTGGAACACATGCAGAGAAGTATCTTCATTTTATGCATAAGATATGCATTCTCAGTAAAAAGTAATTCTGTTTTATAGTTCTTGTTAAGAAGTAAGACTTTACCACATTTCCGTGTAACAGTACATTTATGTGCCCCATTGTGATATAGGAGCTGTGTGTACATTTTTTTTCCAGCTTGAAATACTTACCTTTGCTAGGTCTGCTGAGGTTCTTTTGCACTGGCCACTCAACTGTGTTACAAATGCCACCTTCCAACTGGGGAGACCCGCATAGGAAGGTGACCTAGAGACTTCTAGACCAAACTCTCTTTGCTACTGTTCAGAGCTGCCTAAAAGTGGCGAGGCTGTCGTTTAAGGTGAAATCCTTTGATTTGGAACATGTACTGATTCTGAACAAGGCTATATGTCCTGGAAGCAACGAGTCTGAAAACAGATGGAATTAGTTAGTTACAGCACTATTTTAATGGTATTTTTCAAGCTTGCTGAAGAGCTGTCTTCCTTCGAATGGAGAAGATTTGAGTGCTTTGGCAGGAAGCTTTGTCCTTGATTCACACCATTGATAAATAGCGTGAGTGGGTGCTCCCAGGTCCCACAACTGTAAAGTACCTTCTCCACCTATATATGCTGTGGATTTATACTGCCTTAAAAATCCTTTTATTTCTTGTTGGGATCTTTTAGGAAACAGTTGTTGAAGGTACGTAAAGAGGAGCTAAACCAGTAATTCTTTTCCCTTGCTCTAAACATCACTCCTTCTGCCAGCACTATCAACTCTGACTGCTAAATTATCTGTCTCTCGGACTGTTCAAGCCTCCCTTCTTGAAATGTTTGTTGCTATTGTGACTGAACAGCACAACTTAATATGCTCAAAAAACCCTCAAAATAGTTGAGTTTTTATCTGCTAGCTTCAGTGATGGATAGAAGTTCTTAGGATTAGTGACTAGAGCTGCACACTTGTTTAAAAATATACTTGATAAACATCTGCTAAGAATCTGTGCTGACTATGATTAATTAAACAGCCGCTTGCAATTAGCATTAAACAGGGGCTAATGGAATTTGACTTGAACAATCATTATTGTTGATGATGAAGGGTAGGAAGGAGGTCAGTTTGATCTTCAGGTCCAGAAAGGCTTAGTGCAGCTGAGAAGAGGGAAAATTAAAGATTTTGAGTACTGCATGTGGTAATCTTTGAAATACCATTACTATAACATTTAAAACTTTTTTTTTTGTTAATTGAAGCTATCTGTGAAAATGGCTGCCAGAATGGAGGACGGTGTATTGGACCTAATCGCTGTGCATGTGTCTACGGATTTACTGGCCCTCAGTGTGAAAGAGGTAAAAGAAAGAAAGAAGAAAGGAAATTATGAGCAGTTACATGCAACAATACAGTATGTACATATTTTATGCTGTATATCTTCTGGCTGAGCCAATAAGCTTCCAGTAAACCATTTATTATTTGTAATTTTAGAAAGTGTCTTCCTTCTTAGTCTGGTAGCCACATTTCAGGTTGGCAAGTACAAAGCTGTCACAATTGGTGGGAATTTGAGCTAGTTTAGACTGCTTATTTTTTTCGTATAATAGTTAAAAGGTGAGCTATTTTTTGCTCTCAGCTACGTGAAATAACGTTACAGCAAAATTGCTGATGGTGTTGGAATTGTGTAAGTAACTAATTGAAGGATTGTTTTTCTGTATAACTCCTCTTTCATAAGAGGAACTTGGGTAATTCTTTGCTCTGGTTAGTTCTGTCTTATAGGAGAAAGTCAGAGATGGAGTGAAAAAATAACCAATTACTGTAATAGTGAGATCAGTTCCTAAAACCATTCTTACTCAGGAAAACATCTTAGCCATGTCTTAACTTACAGTGCTTTCACAAATTGGAGATTAAACTAGGGTTTTATTTTAAAATTTTGTGGAGAAGTCCCTCAGCCTTCTTTTATGGGCTTAAAGATACTGACAAAGTCAGTTTAATGATGCTGAACAAAACATTTTTAGCATTACACTATATGATTAACACACAAATAATTCAGGCACTAAGTCCATCTATAGTGATTGAGAATAAACCTGCTTCCATGCTCAGAAATCTGTACTTCTTGCTTTTTAATAAATCAGAGCATTGTTTGTATTTTGAAACCAAGACTGTGGAAATAGAGTAAGGTAGCGCTGCTGAACATTAGGTATAATTGTAGAACGCATTATGTGTGCATCAAACTGACAAGAGTAACCCAAATTACTGCCTATTTAGAATGGATTTTTAATGAGCAGATACAGTGAAGATTGCTTGTCAAAACAATGTTGTACATCCTTTAATAGGAATTTTTCAAGAATAATCAAAGATGATGCTGAAGAACTTAGCAGCAATATTATTCTTTGTCTTTGTCCAAGTTGGTGTGTTTGTGAATACATGTTCTCCTCAAAAAGGGTACTGAAGAACTGAGCAACCGTAGTGTGAAATGCAGAATACTAGTATGCATTGTTATCTTACCCCTTTAAAATATTCAAAAGGTTGCCAATACTAAAAAGAGGGATGGGATCATTTGCATTAATAGAAAATAGAAAGTCACATTCTTAATTCACGTTAGCAGTGGATGAGACACCTACTCAGGGCAGAAGTACACTTCTTAGATTGAGAAATAATTTAAATCAGAAAGGACCTCCACCAGCCATCTAGTCCAATATCTACTCAAAGCAGGTCTAATCAGATCAGCCTGCTCATGTCCATGTCCAGTCAGGTTTAGAACACCTTCAAGGATGGAGATTCCACAACATCTCTGGACAACCTGTTCCAGTATTTGACCACTCTTATGGTAAAAAAAAAACAACAAAACCAAACAAACAAAAAAAAACCCCACAGAAAATCCCTAATATCTATATTGCAATTTTGCATGTTCCAACTTTTACTTGTTGCCCCTTGTCTGATTGCTGTTGAACCTCCAATAAAACTCTGACTTCAATTTCTCTGTATCCTCTGAACAGGTAGTTATAGGCAGCACTAAAGTCGCCTTGAAACCTTCTCTTTGTAAGGCTGGGTGAACTCAAGTTCATCAGCCTCTCCACACGGGGCAAGTTCTCCAGCTCTCTGACCAATTTGGTGGCCCTCCCCTGGACTTTCTTTAGTGTGTCTGTTTCTTTCTTGTATTGAGAGTCCAAAACTGGACACAGTACTCTGATGCAGTCTTAGGCATGCCAAGGGGAGGTGAAGCACCACTTCCCTGGATTGGATGCTACACCCATCCTGGTACAGCCCACGCCGCTGGACTTCTCTGCTGCAAGGCTACACTGTTGCTTTGTGTACAGGTTGTTGTCTACTACGACCTGTGTAATCCTTTTCTCAGAGCTGCTATGCAGGCAATTAGCCTCCAGCCTATGTTGTTCCATCAAGTTATTCCATCCCAGATGTGAGACTTCCTTTGCTTTTGCTGAACTTCATGAGATAACTGTCTGCCCATTTTTTCTAAGCTGTTTGGATCACTCTGAGTAGCAGCCCTGCCGTCCAGCATATCAACTGGTGCCCCAAATTTGGTGTCATTTGTGGTCTTGCTGAGAGTATGCTCTTATACCATCACCCAGGTTATTAATGAAGACCTTAAACTGTTATTTGTCCCTGAGGGACTGCACTAGTTTCCTCGCCTTGAGCTGGACTTTGCTGATTACAAATCTTTGAGCCAGCAGTCCAGCTAATTTTCCACTCACCTTATCTATTGTTCACTTATTCAACCTGTATCTCACCAAGCACAATCTCTCTGTGGGAGCCTATCTCAAAAGCCTTGCTCCACTCAAGAAACGCCCACTGCCCTCTCCTTGTCCTTTGCACCAGTGACCTCAGGGTTGGAAGCAGTCGTGACGTTCGCCCTTGGTAAACCCATGCTGGCTGTTCCCAAACACCTTCTTGTCATTCATGGGTTTAGAATTGGATTCTGAAGGGAATCCTGTGGAATTCTCTGCTTCAAATTCAGCTCTGAAGTGTTCAAAGCTGTATATAAATTGTGAAAATGTCTTGGACCATTTTTTTGTGTGTGACTGGGGAAATAGATATACTTTCCATGCAGATGAAGGAAATAACTAAACCAAACCTGAAAAAGCAGGAGTTTCTATTTGTTCTTCCAGGCTGTTTTGTATACCCACTAGATGTCACAAGCAACAGAGAAATGTAACGGATGGATTTGTTTCTTTGTCTCTAATTGCCTGTTGCTTTCATTCTTAAAACCAGATTCATGGACTTCTATTTATTCCTGTTGGTTTAGGTTTTTGCTGTTACATGTTACATCCAGCCATTCTCTGTAGTTGCTTCTTGTGAACCAAGTGCAAGGACTCAAATCTTTTATATTCTGGTTAGTGGGGAAATAGGAAGCATTATTCTGTTAAAAACTCTGTTAATAATTACAGCCCTTTTCAGAAATATGTCTTTGTAGAACATACATCTGCCTTCTAGCTAAAATAACACACTACCCAGTCTGTCAGTTTAGGATGTATTTTCAAGGGATTGGACAATGTTAGGTTGCTTTATAGTTTGGGCCTTAGTTCAGATGGAGCTTACATTTGTCCAAATTCAACAGTCTAAGCTATGTATCCCAGATGGATGACAGTTATAGCTGAACTATAACATGATAGAATTGCAATATTGGAAATTGATATTTTTTTATTATTGTTATTGATTACATTCAGATATTTTTCTATTGATTGCCAGACAACTTGGTAAGCTTGCTTTTTGTCTCAGAAGAAACTATTCCTAGTTAAGATTTGCTTTTATTCTCTGACTACATTCAGGACTGTGAAATCATGTTAACATATATGACAGACTCCAGCTGTGATGGTGGTCCAGAGTTTTAGTAAGAGTGCTTATATTTGAAATAGAATCTTTTAAATAAGTCAACCTAGTATGTATGGGTATTGTAACTTAACTTTTGTGATGACGAAAGTATTAAAGTTTGCTTTCTTACAATTCATTGTGAAACTTTAAGCTGCAGAATTCAAGCCACATAAAGAAATTAAACACCAGTATTTTGGCATCCATATTTCTTAGGGATCCTTGAAAGTCTTAGCCTTTCAGTTCCATGTCTAGAATGCTGTTGTCATGCTAGACTTAAACTACATGGTATGGTTATTTGGAAATTGAGTTATTAGCATTAAAAGTTTACATTTCCTTGAAATTGGAGGCAGTAAGCCAAATTTGCTTCCATCACTGTCACAAAAATATAAGCAATATAAATAATTGCATATATAATTTGTATATCTAACATGCTTTTACAACAGTGGACAGGGCTAAGTAAATCTTCACCTGATCTCTTATCTTGGTGTTGCCTAGACTTTCTCATATTCAAAGAAAGAAGAGGTTACTGATTTATTGTAGTACTATTCAGTTAGAAAGATGCCTCCTGTAGTATATGTTGGTAATGACTATAAAAAGACTCTTAATAGAGTAACTGTTAATTTTTTTTATGCTTTACATGAGGTGGAGTACATGAAAAACCTTAGAAGATACCTTAAATGCCTGTTCTGTTCAATAGTAATTTGGAATTTATGCTTTTAACCTAGTAAGAAGTTTATGCTTTCCAACAAAACGTGAAAGGCAATGATTTCTCCATCTGTTGGTTGCAATAGTTGCCTCTAATACTTTACAGTAAGAAATACCTCTGTAGTTTAATTCTAAACTGAGTTTAGCAACAGTTCATAACTCTTTAACTAAAATTTTGTAGTTTAAGGTTATGTGAGCTTCCCTTGCAAATCACACCAGAGCTATGAGATTTTGTTTTGGGGTTTTTTTATTGTGTTTGGTTTTTTTTTACATCACCGTGTTTTAAATGCATACTTTATATTGTTCTGTAAATTAAGTTCTTTAAATTAGGGATTTTCTTCCTAATACAGAACATATGTAGCTTTCCTTCAGATTGGCCTCCCAGTCTCAGTTATATGATAAAACGTGACTGCTTGTTCAGCTATCTGGGCTCTGAGCAGACTAATTTCCGGGCTGGAGACAGGAGGCTGAGCAGCAACTAATGACTGGCATGATTACAGTATTTAACTTGAGACTTGCTGCTGGGTTAACAGGAAAGTAGAACCTGTTTGGGAGCTTGTGCTTTGCTCTTTCTGATACGTACAATGACCTGTTATATTTCCTATCACAATATGTTCTTTTGGTCAGCTTCTTGTCTTTGATTTGTAAACACACAAGATTGAAGCATTTGATTTTTTTCTGTTTTATTGTGTTCTGTGGTGTGGTTTTTTTTCAAGAAAAAAAAAGATGTTGAAATCTTGCTGTTGAATTTTTCCCAGTGAAAAATAATTGGAAAAAAAAGAAACAGATTAATTAAGAGACCTCCTCCTCAGTTGTACACAAA